TGGCAGGTCGGCTATATCGCTATCGCTGCTCTCCCCATTGGATCTGTCTCTGCGCGCTGCGACGAATATGGTGCCAATTACGCCGCCATCGACGCCCTCGCCGCCTCGCAAGCGTCAAAGATTAATGTCCGAGGAGAATTACCTGTGGCGGCCCCATGCGGCGCTCGTGATGCAGCCACCAGCAGTAGCAACAGCAGCAGCCACAGCAGCAGCAGCCACAAGCTACTTCCACCAGCAGCAGCAGCAGCAGCTGCAGCAGCATGGAGTGGGTGGCTATGGCTTTGAGGGTACGGCGTATGATAAAAGTAATTTTCACGGCAAAAGTAACTTTGCGCAAATTCCGGCAAGTCAATCGAGCGTGACTAGGACGGCAGCCAGCAGCGGCAGCAGCTGCCAGGAGGATGAGACAATTGTGTTGACCGAAGACGAGGATGAAACAGTTGTCAGTTCCCATGACTACAATGACTATGCCACGGACACGGAGGCCGATGCGGATGGCGATGGTGACGGCGATGGCGATGGCGATGAGGAGGACTCAATACAAGTTCACGACGTCGATGAGACAGAGGAACAACAACAGCAGCGACAGCAGCAGGAGCCGGAGGACGATGAGGAGGTATTTGTGGACATACTGGGCAACGATGATGACGATGCTGATGATAATGTGGTCTTGGTGCCGCCACTGCAGCAGCAGCAGCAACAGCAGCAACAGCAGCGAAAGCAGGCGCTCAAAAGGAACGAGCTGATCTATGAGGATGAGGAGCTGCACAATCAGGCCATCGACGGTCTGGACAAGCTCTTCAAGCGCGACTTTGCCCAGGCGGCCAAGGAGTGTCTCGAGCTGGAGGCAGAGGCCGCAGCCGCTGCCAGCGAAGAGCAGCCGGAAAAAGTCTACATGGACTTGAGTGAATCCACTAATCCAGCGCAAAGTCAACCACAACTACAAACACATCCACATCCACATCCTCCGCCCCATCTCCAGGTACAACAACAGCCCGAGGCACATTCTTCGCTGTTGCGCAAACAGAAGCCGGAACGTCGACGCACCAAATTGCGCAAACACGCCGCAAATGTCGACGAGGAGACAATCAGCCCCGTGTCCGGCACCATAATACGCAAACTGCGCGACGATGAGGAGCTGGTGGTGCGTAAAGGCGACATTGATCCCGCCTTCAATGTGGTCGAAATCACCGAGGAGGCCAAAGCCATCTTGGCCAGCATCGAGAACAAAATTGGCGACTATCTCTGTCAGCTGTGCCGCACCGTCTACGACGACGCCTTCATGCTCGCCCAGCATCGCTGTCCACGCATCGTTCACATCGAATACAAGTGCTCCGAGTGCGAAAAGGTAATGCCTTACTGACCTCTCTTCTCTTCCCTTTAATCACTAACCTAAACTTTTATAAAGTTAAGCTCTCGTTTGATCTCTAGTAATGTTGAAGGCTACAAAACTTTTCAATTATTATCTATAACAGAAGAAAGGGGATGTCTGGCTTTAACAACTTTGATTGCTTAAAAACAACGCAAGATTTTGTATTCCCAGATTCACTTAAGGAAACCTATACGCTGCATATTAAGAAACTTTCAGCTTTCAGTGGAATTTCAGGCATTATTAGCTAATTTTGTTCGACTGTTAGAAAAATGAAATTAAAGTTAAAGCAAAAGAAGTTTTACCCTTTTATATACTTTATTAGGTGAGGCACACCTATGGCAGCAGGGCCGGATTAAGCCTCGACGGGGCTCTGGGCCATCGTCCATTTGAAAGTCCCATTTTAGGCCCGTTTCCTTCTTTTTTCGATTTTAAAAGGCTCTTTCGATTCCGGGAATACCATGCAACTTATTTTGCCCACTTGTTCCACCCCTGCATACTCCAAATATTGTAGTTATTGTAGTTACATATCATAAGTTCAAAAACCCAATGTTTTTAGAAATTTATACAAATAGAAGGTAATATTAAAGATTCATACACAGGAGTTATCTTGTCTTCTCAGACTAAGGCAATCCCTAAACAGCAAGTTGATGATCAAAATGTGGAAGCTTATAATATAACAATTTGGGTTCTGTATGCAAAAACTTTTGAATGACTAGTTATATTTGGAAAAACTTTCAGTGGAATATTATTTATGTATTGATAATATATATATATATATATATATATATATATATA